GAAGACAGATTGAAGGTCCCAGCACGGTTAGCGGCGCACACAGCAGGAATGGTACGTTGACACACAACACCTCACTCTATTACACTCACTCACTGACTCTGCTATGATGTTAACAGGGTGACAGTTCAAATTCTCCACCGTATCCAGGCTACGGGCGTGTGGACCGCACGCTGCGTGATAGTGCAGAGCTGGATCGCATCCGGATTCGTGACAAAACGCGAAAGGAATGGGATGATACGCTAGCAGCTTTGAAGAAACTGCCCCTGTCTCCAATTCACGACCGTGGCAGCAATGATCGCGCGGCGTATCATACTGAAACACTCATGCGAATAAAGCTTCAAAAGCAAGCGGCACGTCTCGTGGCCGAGGGGAAGACGATGGTGACGCGCAGTACCGCTGCTACGCTGCTAGCTGAAGATCCCACGAAAGCCAGCGACGACAGTGCGCCAAGGTCCCGCAAGAAGTCTAACTCAAGGAACTACAACGCTGCGCTTCACGAGGCGCTGAAGGCTATTGATCAAGTCGATAGCGAACCGTCTGTGTCTTGCAGTGACTCCGATTACGAAGACGACAAGACCAAAGGGGAGAGTGGCGAAAGTGATGCAGCGGAAGGGGGATCTGAAAAAATATTGGCCGAGACTGATGGAGATCGCGGCGATGGTGCCGCCAGTGGTACCACCCAAGTCGAAAGTGAAGGCGATGGTGGAGACGTTTTGGACGCAAATGATGATTTAAGTAATGATTCAAGTGATACCGAAGACAAACCGAATTCATCACCGAATGTACACCAAACGTTTCCTAAGAAGAAACAAGACGCTGGTGATTCATTCTTCCAACCAGGTACCAAGATGTTTAATACCTGGGAGGAGTTCCACGCTGCTTTTGACGCCCACCAAGTCCAGTCTTCCCAGCAATTTTCCAAGCGGACAAGCACGTCTGTCAAGGTACGGAACAAGCAGATACTTCGGGCTGCGAAGAAGACCATGGCGGCCGGAAAGAGGAAGCGGAAAGATGTTCGTTTGGTTCCCAAGCAGTGGGAAACTTACTCGGAGACGCTCGTGTGCACCCATGGTCAGCCGTATGAGCCACGCGGCAAAGGATCCAGAAAACACAATTTCGGTTCGTGATACGAAGTGCACGGCGAGAGTGAACGCGCGGGTGACTTCCAGCATTAGTGGTACGTGGTACGTGAGGGTAACCACGTCGGGGAATCACAACCACAACTTGAACAAGCGCATTTGGGAGAGCTACGCAGAGAACAGGATTGTCAAGGACCCCGCGGTTGACGAATGATGTCGAAGTACTTCGCAAGGCAGGAGCTAATGCTCAGGAAATCCTGAAGTACTTACGGGAGCGCACAGGTACATACCATCACTTGTTTGGTATGTTTTCGGTTAATGATATTTTTCTGTTTTTCTTTGGTGTTATAACATAGGCAAGAGAACTACTCTCCGTGACGTTCATAATATGGTGCAGCGGCATAGGATGAAGGAGCAGACGGGGCTTAACGATGCTCAGAGGGCGTTTGCAGTCCTGGACGAGTTTTGTAGGCAAAACGGCGGAAACTCTGCTGACGTTTTGGTCGACTGTGAGACAGACGTTGCTCGTGTCGCCACGTTCCAGACCGCAAAGATGAAAAGATTGTTCAAGGCTTTTCCTGAGGTCGTCATGGTCAATTCCACTCATAGCACGAACGTCAATCGGTACAAGTTATTCAGCTTTGTAGTTCATGATGTATTCGGAAAGGTATGCGTGTAAAGCTACATGTTTTATTCATTAGTTATTAATCTAACACGTCCATTAGGGCCAATACGTACACCATGCTCTTGTAGAAAGTGAGCACAAAGTCAATTTGCGGCGCGTAGTGGAGATTTTCAAAGCCAACAACCCCGAATGGACGAAGATACGCGTGATTATGACCGACAAAGCTGTCCATGAGAAGGAAGTACTACAAGAGATGTTTCCTGACGCCCGCCAGCTGCTCTGCCAGTGGCACGTGATTACATGGTTGAAGAAACAGGTCACCAGGTTGGCACCCGCCGTGAAGAAGGAAGTGAAAAGTTTGGTGAGGCTTCTGGTTTACGCCACCTCAAAAAAGAAGTATGAAGATGCTCGTGGAGCAATGTTGCAGCAACTTGGTGGCGATACGAGGCACCAGTTATACAGGACATTTATGGAAAACTGGGACAACAGTCAAGAGGAGTGGGTCTCTTACCAGCGCGGCAACGTCCCCCACTTGACAAACAATACCAATAACAGGATTGAGTCAAAGTGGGGCAAGATCAAAGATGTTATAAATGACTCATTTGCTATCGACCAGCTTCTATCTACGCTGATTACCCTTCAAGAGTATGCAGAGGAACAGTATCTCGCGGAATATCACAAGGTTGGGAGCAGGCCTTCCCGGTGTGACGAAGACGCAGAACTTTCGTCTTTGGCTTTGCACGTGAGCACGTTCGCTTTCGATTTAGTGGCCTCGCAACATGCGACGGGTCCCGGTGCAGATTACCAGGTGGAAGTCGTAGCTCAAGGAACGGCGAGGGTAACGAGTCCAGGGTCCGGCCAAGTTCATGTAGTGGACACTCAGGTATGTACAGTGTTCTGTGTTGGTTATGTTATTTTCTGTGTACTTTTGGTACATGATCAATTAACTAGCTCGTGTGTTATGTAGACGAATTCGTGTGACTGTATCTTTATGAAGACTTGCATACTACCGTGTCGTCATGTGATGTTCGTCAGAAGTACTTGTAATTTCGAGACAATGATTCCTCCCATGCGCTCATTCCCCGCAAGATGGATTGTCCACAGTTCGGTTAATAACATTGGAGACGGTGAAGTGCTTTCTGGTGGTATGAAGCAAGTTACGTGTCCTGCACTCCCCAAGGAGAAGGCACTGAACAGCCCCGACATGTACTGCAAGGCGAAGGAAGTCACTGACAAAATTATCGACCGCATGGTATTGCAGTCGACTCCGACGTACCGAGTCGCGTTGCGGTGGCTTGATGACTTTTACACGGCGCTCAACACTGGATGTGTGGTGGAGTATTCAAGTCAGGGAGTTCCAGTTTTTCCCGGGCTGTCGCAGATGCCTTCGACCACTGGTGCACGTTTATCCCAGATGTCATTTGCTGAGGTCTCGCCCCCACCACATCACAATGACGAACTCTTGACCGATGTGGAGGATACTGCAGCTCAAGGCAAAAGTGATACGGTTGTTAAGGAATGTGAAGAAATTGAAACTAAACGTACACCAAATGCAGCCGAAACTACACAGAAAGATAATCCAAAGGCTGGACCGACGCTAGGGCCCGCACAAGCAGAAACGTGGGAGTTCGCAGACCGACCCGTGATTAGTGGCATGACAAAAGCTCAGAGAAAGCAGGCTCAGAGCAAGAAAGACCAGGAAAATGCGCGTGCTCTAGCTGCAAAATATCGCCAAGGAAAGAAGACAAGGACTGTTAAGCTCGATGAGGTGGCTGCGCTTCTGGATGGGCCATTCAGCGCATTTCAGGCTAAAGATATGGTGGAGGCCCTTGAAATTCTAAGTGTTGAACTGCACGGACCAGTTTCGGTCAGACCCTTTAATGTGGGCCAGGAAGTCCCAGTTGTGACGAAGATTCCTCAGTTAACCAAGGTCATTGAAGGCATTGAAGCTATCAAGGCAGCAGAGAATATCAACCTACTCGCGTACTGGCCAGATTACGGAAGTGCTACATTGGACCAGCTGGATGCTATGGCCAGTATAATCAAAGCTCGCAATCACTTCAAGCTGGTGGCTCGTACGATGAAGAGGATCGACGATGTGGAATGACAAGTTGAAGACATTCGCTATCCTTTCGTGGACACCAGTCACATAACGAAGGTAATGTTCGTACAGTACCACAACCGAAAGTACACCGCATATTAACAGAACTAACTGTATTATGTTAAATTTGCAGAACCATCACAAACAATGCGTTTATGCTCTTAATCTGGCTGTGAATCGAGTACCGGAGGAGCTCGTAGCTGGACATCAAATTTTGGACATGCGTGAAAATCTTTGGCTGCACACAACGTCGATTCTCGTTTCCCTGCTTATGTTGCGCGACGAATATCGCAATGTTGGAGTTGTGAGTCCAAGTTACCATGGATTCGCGCTACCTGAGCAAAAGAAACGTGTGGCAAAAGGATTGGGTGCTTGTAATCCCCAAAAACAGCGTGTAATTGGTGCTATGAATCTCAATCTACACTGGGTAGCGTTTCTCGTGGACAAGAAGAAGAGAATCTGTTTCATGTTCGACCCACTTCAATCCGATGCAAACTACACTACCATCGAGACAAGTGTGCGTGCAGTGGTTGAGAAGATTTTGGGTCTTGAAGACATGCTGCACTATGAGCGCATTACCTGGTGTACGCAACAAGATTCCAGCTCCTGTGGCGTGTGGAGCATTGCCATACTGGAAATGCTTTTAAGTGGCGCTATTTGGAACGATTGTGTCTACAATCTTGTGCCGTATTTGCGCATGCGTCTGCTGTACAAAGCAATTGCTTTCATTGAGAGAGAGTCCGTTGTCATTGACGTGTAAGTTCATTCCTTCCTGTTGAACATTTTAGAAATATACACAACTCTACTTTTGTATTTGGTCCCACGCGTACATGCATCGAAAAAACGCTAAGTCGCACAACTTCTATATATAGACTTGAACCACAAAGATTGGGCCTTTGTGGTGTATATTTCTCACACCAAATCGAAGATAAACATTAATTACCGTCTTTGATGGGTAACCTTTTCCCATATGTTTGCACCAGATTATAACCAGTACAGCACTACCGAAGAAAGCCAATTAATGTCCATCTAAATTTGGTGGTAGCACGTCCGCCCTCTTCCTTCGTCGCTGCAAGTGCGGAAAATCCGAGTTTGTGTTACTATGGTGGGGTTGGTGTTTTCAGTTACCTACTTCAAACTTGACCGAGTTAAAATAATTACCTACTATTTATGGTAAATCATAGCCAAAATTAGCTTTTTGGTGTGAACTTCTCTCCTCTGTTCTTCAGTATTGAATTCGAAACGAAGTATTCCGTTTTTCTCCAGTTATCAAAACGAAGAATTCCATTCGTCTCCAGTTGTATGGCTTCAGACCTGCACGTTACTTCTTTACGCATAGAAGCCGTCTGTTGCTGCTGATAGGGAGCGCGCTTGCACGTTTCACCGCTGTTGTTAGCTTGGTCTTTTTACCTTTTTGCTCTGCCTTCTTTTGCCCCACCCGTGTAGACAACTTGGGTCTCTTCGGTTTCTCGGTTGCGTCGTCCTCCTCACTCGAAGCAAAGTCTTCCTCTAGTTCCATTGATGTGGACAGTTTCGGTCTCTTAGAACTCAATGACATATTTTCTTCCTCCACCGCTGGCGATGTCTTTCTCGCACTTGCTGTCGTCTGATGCTTTGAAGTTGTCATCTTCTCCTTTTTCGTCTTTGCTGCCTTTCGCTTTGTCGCCTTCCGCTTTGGTTTAAATACGGGAATTTCTGGCTGCAGCTCTACCTCATTCACCGACTCAGCACTTGCTGTGTCATCTCCATCACCGTCGAGTGTAATATACTGGTGCGTCAGCTGGTGAAGCTGTTGATTCTTCGCAAACCTGGCAAACCATTCTTCATCTCCCATCTCTCTCCGCTTCGTTTCCACAGACTCCACCGCCGCCTCCTTATACTTTAGAGGCACTGTTCCTCTCGGGACAAACTTGGGTAGAGCATCGTCCGCACTAGACTGCAGTATAAACCCGTAGGCTTGTTCAAACTGGTTTCTATTAGACTTTTTCCGTCTCTCGTCGTGCTTCTCGTCGAAAGGTTTGACGTGGCCCTTTAGCAGCCAACAGCGCGCTCTTTTGACAAAGCTGCTGCTGTCCATAAAGTCCACCTGAAGGCGGTTCTCCTTATTTAAGTTCTTCATACCTGCCTCGGATCCAGGGGAGCGAATAGTGGCCAGTCCTGGCCACATGGGCCAGTTTAAGTGTCTGATCCAGCACTTGGCGGCCCATGTGAATGTGTGATACGGCGCCACACGGTTGCTGTCCACTTCCACGACTTCGTCATAGTCGGAGGGCCATCCGTCGTACGTTATCTCCAGCTCTTCGGGCGACGGGACGTGCAGGACGCGGGCAACGCTCCAGATGCCGTCGTGGTCCATGACATCTACGAGAGGAAGCAAAAAGTCAGATTGGTGCAGAGAGGTGGTTGGACGATGCTTCTTCTACGAACCTAGCCAGTCGCCCTCGTGGAGATTGGCGAGAGGAGGCGGCGACGCCACTGGGCGCGGCATTGTCACGTTTTGCAGTTGAGAATTTTCAAGTCACATATATCTATCTTTTTAGAACTTTTTTGTCTAACACACACTTGTTTTTTGTATGTCGAAATTGAAAATCTCTTTTTCGATCATTTTTTTTATTCACTAACGTTATTTTTGACAAGTTAAGTCCCCGATAGAGTAAAAAACACTAAATATTGTAATTTCTAGGGAAAAATACTCTCATATTTCATCACATACAGTGCACGCCAAAGCTATAAGAGCACTCGAATTTTTCGATTTCTCTCCAGGTAGTGACTTTTGTATTGAACTTATGGTTGGGAGTCGTAAAAAGCAATGGAAGGACGACTCTGAAAGTCCGGTTGGACAAACAGCATTCACTTTTCCCAATTGAAAATATAACGTTATGCCATCGGGTCACACCTATATACGCACATTTTAACATTTCAAATAAATAGAAATGGTGTGGTCATTTTATCAAATACGTTAGACCGATGAAAAGAACGCAAAAAAGGACCCCTTTTGGCTCACATTAGCAATGTTCACGCCGAAGCCCAATGCCGCGCGGAAAGCGTCTAACCGCAGAGGAGTGTAGGCGCATTAAGGTCTATAAGGAAACGAAACTAAGCAGCCGCGAGATCGCCAGGCGCCTCGAACGCACAGAGGGGGCCAGTTAGAAACACATATGATTTTTACATCTTTTTTTTCATTGAGAGCGTGTGGGGACTTCTGGCCGGTCGAGTGTATGCAAATGGACGTCAGCCTGACAGCCAAGCTGACTGAAGGCTTGCATCAAGGCGGAGTGGGCCCCGGCCATATCAAGAAGCTTGTCTAGAGCATGCCGAAGCGTTTGTATCTGGCAATGGCGCTGAAAGGCGCCACAACACATTACGAGTGAGCAACTACAAAGTGCGCATATAGTTTTGACCCGATGGCATAAAGTTATATTTTCTAGAGTGAAGAACTGAATGCTGTTTGCCCAACCAGACTTTCAGGGTCGTCCTTCCATTGATTTTTACTACTCCCAGCCATTAGTTCGATACAAAATCACTATACCTAGAGAGAAATCGAAAAAGCTCGAGTGCGCATATAATTTGGCGTGCACTGTACACATAGAAAATTGCCCCAAAGAAATATCTACATTTACGCAATTTATACATCCCATGTATCTATGAAAATGTTTTTCTGCATGATTTTGCCACGTTTGTAAAGCCTTCACTTCCGAGGACAGCTTTGCTCCGCACCCCCCTCTTCTTAGCCGTTCGTGGCCACAGGTACGCGAATTTTCGGACTTTTCAATGCTAATAAGGCCTCCAACGTGCAATGTGCGACCGTGTGTTTGAATTTGTTACAGTTTCTGGTCCCTTCCTTCCACCACTGCTCGTACGTCTTCTCCTATTATCACCCATGCGTTCAAGCAGGTTGTTCGCGCATTCCACCCACGACACTTAGCTTGATAGCAGCAGCCATCTTGGAACGAATATTCTTGCCGCTGAATATTGACGGAGCTCACTGGACATGAATCGTGGTGGATGGGCCTACGCAGAGTGTGTGCTGCTACGATAGCATGGACAAGCGCGCAAGCCATAAATTGCTTGCAGAGCTGGCAGATGATATCGTGAAAAAGTCTTTCGAAGGCATTTAGTATCATGGCCGTGCACTGTCCCATCCAGAAGGACGTCTATAACTCGAGGTGTTCATTTGTTTGTACTTATGGCGCCTTTTCTGGAAAGAAGCAGGCATCAACTACACGATGAAAGATTGTAATGGGATATCCTGCGTACCGTCATAGAGTTCAGCGACGAAAGCAAACACAAAAAAGAAGCTAGCTGAATAGGCACAGTTTCTAAGTCCAAAACCGTACACGCTTTTATGTTTCTTTGTTTTTTTTAGAGAGTGGGTATCTTGCCCGACTGGGATTGCCCTTCCCCTACGCATCCCTTTCTCTTACCGAGCTGGTTCATCCGTACAACAGTATACATCGTATACCACCGTGAGCCACACAATTCGTTAACGGGGAGAGCGTGAGCGACAAGCATGGATCTCCGCACGCGCGCAGCGCAAAAGCGCCCTCTTACTCATTCAGCTGAGTGGGAGTCCGATGAGAGCGAGGGTAATAGTTCGGATGCGCCTCCTGCTGACGTCTGGGCGCCTTCCCCCGTCGTGAGTGAGCTTAATACGACACATATTCCGTTGGAGCCAGTGAGCTGCTCCAATCCGCCGAAATCCACCAGCAGCACAAGCGAAGGTGGTAGCTCCGTCCGCGTACTCGCCTTGGCGCCTAAGAAGGTTGAGTTTCCCTCCTGGGAGGTGTTTGAAGATTATCTGGCCGTATACCAAGCACAGACGTTCCAGGCACGTGTTTTCTATAGCTGTGTATATACGTTTTGGCTGACATGCACTATGAATTTATCTGTAGATTTTCAGGGTGAGGACAAATACGACTGTGGCAGAGCGCAACGCACGGATCGACCGCACAAAGTCAAAGGCGGAAAAACTTCCTGACGAGTGGGTGCAATACGCAAAGACCTTTGTTTGCACCTATTCCGGGAAATTTAAGTCCCAGGCCACGAGCAAGAGACCCCGGCAGGAGTCTAGGATGAAAGGATGCAATGCCCAGGTAAAGTGAATGATCGGGCTCGGTCGGGCTCGGTCGGGCTTGGTCGGGCTTGGTCGGGTTCGTTCGATCGGGATTGAGACTTGTCTGGTCGTGATGGAAATCCAAATGAGGTCTTACCACTCTCTATGTGATTGATTATGTGTAGATAAATGCCTGTGTTCAGGTGGTGGATTCTGAGAAGATGATCTTCGCTGTGAGGATAACGAGATGCCGACTGGAACACAATCATCGGCTTTCGAACCATTCGTTTAGAGCACATCCAACAAATCGTCTTGTACTGAATGAGGATGCTTTACAGACAGTGAATGTACTTCGACAGGCTGGTGCTAAGAAGTCGAGTATCATGAAGTACATTACGGAAAACTCGGACAGCAACCCGACTTCGCAGGATGTCCACAATCTTATTCGTAAGTTGAAGGCTCGGGAATTGCGAGATGGCCCGAGCACTAGTAAAAAGCGGTTGAAGAAGTGGATGAAGCAATTTGGTGACCGCCCTGGTAATGTTGGTCGGATTTTCCTCGACGATATAAATCAGAAGGTAACTGGTGTGAATAATTTGGGTTGAATTGAAAAGATGAAAACTTAACTCTATGTTTATCGTGTTTTGAACATACAGAAAGTGGCGACTTGCATCACCCTGCAGACGAATCATATGAGGACTCTGTTCGAGCAGTTTCCTGAAGTTCTTTTGATTGACGCCACCCACGGAACGAATCGGTCTAAGTACAAGGTCTTTTCGTTTATGGCTCATGACACGTTTGGTAAGGGGCAGTTCGTCCAGCACGCTTTGCTTCAAAACGAGCGGTACACTACATTACTGACGGCGCTGGAGGAATTCAAAGTTAATAATCCAGCGTGGAAAAGGCTGCAGTGTGTTCTTGTGGATAAGGATTTCACGGAGATCTCAGTATTGAAAGAAGCTTTTTCTGGAGTGACTATTTTGCTCTGCCAATTTCACGTACTGAAATACCTACGTGAAGAAATTGCCTCGGCTGACTATGGATTTTCGAAGACCCAGAAGGAGAAACTTGGAGGTGCGATGAGTTTACTGGTGTACGCAAAGACTGAAGCAGAATACGAGAAGCATTTGCGGTACATGGTCCACCTCGCGTCAATTGGCTATTACGTCCCAGCGTCTAATGTGCCGGAGCCAACTGGGAGTGAACCGAACTTAGACGGCCGTCAATCGGGGTCAGTCGGGGGTGAGTCTGGTGCAGTCGGGCATGCGAAATCGAGTACAGACCAAACGCCAACGAGAGAACCCGTTCGATGCGACATAGAACATCCCATTTGTGGCGTATTTCCGCCGGAATTGGGACAATTGCCGTGAGATGTGGTGTGCGTACAAGCGCCAAAATACGATTACACTCGGAAATAACACAAACAACAGGCTGGAAGCCTCATGGAAGCAATTAAAAGCGTGGGTGGATTCTTTCATGTCTGTCGATGAGTGTATTGCGTCTATGATGTACTATCAAACACTACAAGAAAAGTTGTTCATCGGCGAAGTGACGAAGAACGTGAACGTACAGCACCCAAATTACGATGGCGAAATGACCTGGCTGGCAAATATTGTGAGCGAACACGCCTGTGATCTTATTTACGGGCAGTATTCTTTTGCTCTCGGACGAGCGGCGTATACCTTCTCTGAGCGGCTGCCCGGTGTGTACTTGATAAAGAGTACGTGCAAGGATATCGATGCACTGGATGAGGTCGACACAGAATACTCCGTTACAAAGTGCGACTGGACGTGCTCTTGCCTGTTCATGTGCACGCGATTGCTGCCATGCCGCCACGTATTTTACATCCGCAAAGCCTTGGGCCAAGAAACTGTTATTCCGACCCTCACGCTAAACAAGAGATGGCTGATATCTACCGTGCAGTCGGCAATTGAAAACAACGGTACCAGTAATCACGTCTCTACACCGAAGCCGTTCGAAGTGAAGAATGTTCTGCCTGCTCGAAATCGACCTTGGGATTCAAATCGCAAGTATAGAGAAGCCTTACCTATTGCATCCGAAATTTGCGACACTATGGCTGGACTGGGTATGGCACAGTATCAAGATGCCATGCAGTACCTTCAAGAAGTGGCAGGTCGTTTCAAGAGAGGTGAGTTCGAAGATCCTACCCGAGCCGTGGGCGAGCCCGATCCGGAGGAGCTTTTACCAGACACATCTGTACCAGCTACATGCGTTTCCGAGCCAGACGAAGAAGTCACAGCTTTCGCAACGGCAAGAGAGGAGGATAATCACATAGCAAACTTGTCAGAGCGGTCTGGTCAGTCGGGGCAGTCGGATGAGTCGGGTCAGTCGGGCCGGTCGGGCCATTGTGGAGAGCTTGGAGAGTCTTCACAAACGATTGAATCGAGCGGTATAGGCAATGAGAGTTCACGTGGAGATTGTGGAGCTT